GGGGGGCAGCCGCGGAGAACGAACAGGAAGTTTGCCGTACTGGGAAAGTAACTCAAAGAGGGACTAGCGCAGAAGCTGGCAGCCATGCGGAAGAAGGGCAACAGAAGCGAATCCCCCCCTGAAGAGGAGCGTAGAGTGGCGGTGCTTTTCTTGCCGTTCTGCGCTTCTGGCCTCGCTTCTCAGCCTCCGCGATCCCGGGGGAAAGCGTGGGAGTGGGGAGTGAACGATTGTCACCGGGTTGCCCTCCGTGTTTTGGTTTTTCCCAAACAATAAAACATCATTGTGTGCAAAAAGCAACCCCCCCCTTTTTTTAAAAACTATACTTCGGTAAATCGCTGCTTTCCCCCTTTGGCTACTTGCTTCCTGCTGGACGATAGACCTCGACTTACGACCGTTCCTTTAGTGACTGTTGAGTTGCGGCGGCGCTGAAGAAAGTGACCCGGGACCTTTTCGCAGACCGCTGTGGCGGCCGGCGGTGCTGTCTGTGGGGATAGAAACTGGGGTCTTTTGCCTACCGAGAAAAAATGGGGGCTCCGTTGTCCTGAGCCGAGGACTATCTGTAGGTTGGATGTGGAAACAGACCTTTTTAAGGGAAAGTTTTATGAAGAAAATAATTTTTATTATGGTAAATGGAAGCTGTTGGCCGAGTCCAACAAATCTACCGTTTTCCCAGGGATGCGTCTAATAATTGCGGGCAAGTGTGCGGGTGTTATTTTCCCCTTTCTGAAATCTGTAAATATCCAGGCGTCTCTCCCTTGTGGGCTCCCCTCTGGTACGTCCCGATTCAGTCGTAAACGCTGCGGGGAACCTGACTGAGCTGGGGACTCGGTCTCTATGTCCACTCAAATTAAAAAGGAAAAGTGGGACGGGTGAGGAACAGCTCATTAAACGGACGTCCCAATGACTAGGAACCCGGCCTTGCCTCAAAACACGGGCCCCCTCAATGCGAGTGGAGCCGAAGACATTTTCCCCCAATTTGGGGGGGGGGCACCTTTACCTTTCCCATTGGAGATTCTGGGTCTCCTGGAAATACAAATCGCAGATAAATTCAGGCCAAGCTAAGTGTGTTTGTCAAGTGCTTTTTCACCAGCTGGTCTCAAAGCTCAATTGTTCTCAATTGTTAATAGAAAACACAAAAGAACCGGTAAAAGGGGGTCAAAGGATCTCCGCTTCAGCTACACCAAAAGCGTCTGGAAAGAATTCCACAGGCTGCTCCCCCAGATTTGTCAGCCACCAAGAGGGACAAAGTGGGGAGGGAAGGTAGGGAATAGGAGCTGACGTCAAAAACTGCAAGGAAAAGACATCAACCATCCTTCTGCCCCATTGGATATGGAGAAGTCATCAATGGTTACAACTCCATAAATTCAGGCTCAAAACCCAACATCTCGGATCCATTTGGAGAGCCCCTAACACCTAAGCATGCTTTTGGGACAGCCACCGGCACCAATATTGGCTTGCCCAAGAAAGAAACGTCTGTGTTTACCAAAGCAAAAATAACTTCAAGGAATGTTGAGCCCTTTCCAGCAGGTGGCACTAAGGAGCCAATCCTCATTGAAGACAACCACTTGCAGTGGCTCCAAGGTCACCTGAAGTGCTCTTATTTCAACAGAGCCAAAATGGACATGCTACTTTAAATGTTCTTTTTTGTTCCATTAATTATTTTTTTGTTGTTTATTCAGTGCAAGAAGGCCATGAGAAGGGGGAGTGAGAAGGGGTGTGTATGTGTACATTACATTTATTCGCCAGGCTGGGTTTAACAACCTTTGAACAACACATTTTACATGGGTTTTCAAGATACATCCTGTACACAATCACTAAACCAGGACATGGATTTTAGAGAGTAAATCTGAGCACTGATTTAAAAGCCTTTCTTCTTTCGGACATTCTTGCAGATGTTGATGAAATAATTATTTTTCTTAGAGGATTGGAAGGCAGAAACAAAAAACAAAAATTAAGAAAACACCTCAGAAGCATGCTACCTTCACTGTGGAAATATTACATCTCTTCAAAAGCTATTATAAGATAGGTATGCCTTTGGTGCTCCTGTTATCGTTACTCTTTTCATTACTACTCCAAGTATAAGTTATGAATTTTGTCTAACAGAAGGGTGGCATTGAGGTCACTGCCGAGCACTCACATTTTTACAAAATGCATCCAACTTGTATTGACAATGACATGCTAAAATAACAGATGAGGTCTGGAATCTAAACTCAGCTGTGTTTCTAAATACAAAAATGTATATTTACAAGGAAACCGCTTTCTTCAGAATCATTGTTCAAGTTGATAATATACAAGTATATGTTTTTAAAAAACCATTAGGGTGCTTATGATGTTGCAGAAATAAGTAAGCAAATAAATAACAGAAACCATTAGTAAACAAATTACATTTGAAAAGAGAGTATCCAGATATTAATTTAGTCTAGCAGCAATTTCTAGTTCAGGATTTTTCCCAGAATGACACACTCAATTTTCCTCCAATTTCTTCATCACATGAAAGAGGCTACTAATTTGTTTACTTCTTCTCTTCACTGATAGAGGCATACTTTCATATGTAAAATGGCTTATAATTTGAATATTTAATTATCAGATATGATTTAAATAAAAAACTAAAAATATACCATTAAAATCTATATGAAATAGTTAGAAATGGAAATTCTGAATAGTTCTGTATCAAGCACACTAGCTTACATAGAATATAAGAGATGTTTAGTGTTGACTTTTTCATCCTAAGAAAAATAAGCCATATCAGCTGGTTACCAGCTACAGATTCACACACCCCATGATAATAATATAGGCATTTAGGAAAAAACAAAGTCAAGTCACAATAAGGAGCTGGATTTTAATTTTAGTGGTGTCTCCGATGCACCCACAACGAGGTACTCCTATTTGTTCTGGTAGGCATTGAAGAATTGTGAGGGATGTTCTTTCAGAGGGAAGAAGGCAGAGCAGAAACATAGAACAAAATAAATAGCATTTGTGATGCTCCTGGATACCATCCTTTGTTTAAAGAATTAGGATAATAAAAAATATTTTAGCATTCATCACAGGAACTCAAACACTTTGGGTCATAAACTCAAGCAGATGAAGGTGTGTATGTGTGTGTATGTATGTACGTGTGTGTGTGTGTGTGTGTTCACAGAAACGATCCCTCATTTGTCAATACACGTACACGTTCTGTGCTTTAACTCATACTTCAATGTTTTTTTTTCTCCTGAACAAGACTTACTGCACAATACTATTTTTATCTTCAGCTCAGCAGTCATGTGATGTGCAATAAAGTTAATTGTGCCACCAACAAGACACATTTTCCAAGAAATCCATATTAAGAGAAACTTTAGATAAGAAGTCTTGCTTTTGTGTAATGGAAGAAACAAATATAACACAATTTCTCCCCATTCCATCAACAAGAAAACAATTGAAATATCTACACATTTTCTTAAACAGTAAGGTTCTGTGATTTTTCTCCGATAAAAAAATAACTGCCATGATATTTTTTTGTCTTCATTAATAAAAAAAGGAAACTGCATTAAATGGGTTTCTACATTGCATAGAATGATTCTAACACAATCCAAATATCTGATCCCAAGAAACACTTTGGAGGCAATTGCTAGTCCCAGCACCAGTACAAGGGGGATTAGCTGATAGACAACATCTTCAGTAGCACTCAATTGTATTTGAAGAATGTGAAAATAAATTCTAGCCTAAATAGAAACCATTTTTCCTAACAACCCTCAAATTGTCACAAATCAGGTATGCTCCTCAAAGCAGGGCTGTTACAGCATGCACAATTATGACCGGTCCAAACAATGTTGCTCGGTCCCATGCAGGCCTGTGGCTGAAAAATCTGGAAGGCAAAGGACACTCAACCCAGGGTAGCAGAATTAATATTTTTTTAAAAGAACAAATACACAAATATTGGTATTCACATAAATATTCTCTTGCTCTTGACTTCCTCATAACAGCAGCCTAACTTCCTCAATTAAGAATGATAATTAAAGGCTTATTTATAAGCCTTCCAATTGTTGCTTCCTAGTTCTTGAAATCTCCATGGCAACCAATGGAAGAGTCATTGTCTTCATTATAAACATTGAGAAGAACAAAACTGTCATTCATCTGCACATCTCATAAGTTAAGACTCACTCACTCTCACACACACCCCTAGATACCTGACACCGAATGAAGGACCGGCTGCTTCAGAAACTTCAGAGGGATGGTTCCAATCTGTGTAAGACATTTGCTCTCCTTCTCTTGTGGTACCCATAGGCTGAAGTACTAAATCATTTATGCGTGATTTGAGGGAATGGCCATGCCAACTGTCCCCAAGGATCAAATTAAAACAGATATAATTATCAGGAGACGATTGAAAGTCAAGTCAGAACATTGGCCGGTCACATATGTTCAAATATCCTATTGCTCCCCTTTCATTACAGACACAGGATCAGCTATAAGTAATGGCTAAAAACAAAAATGGGACTTTGAACTCTTTCTTGGTTATTTATTGGCTCATGAAGTGTTTCTTTATTAAAATATAAAATATAATTTCAATATTCTTTCCTGCATTTATTTTCTAGCCTCTGGAGCTCCTGAAAAATGTTCACTGATTAAATTAAATTAAACAGATTCATCGTTGTTCAATTTATAATTTTCAGATATTTTAACTTTAAAGGTAGTAAGAGAATCACTGCCATTTGAAGTCAAATTATTACTTTCTATTCCTATGTACTCTTGATTCTATCATAAGAAGAGAAAGCCAATCAGCCTCGCTACAAGCTAGGCCGTAATTCTGTTTTGTCCACAGAAGCCATTTGTATTCCTTCTGCAAAATGCTCAGTGGGCAGTAATGAAGGCTGCAGGCTTAGATCTCTCTACAAACCCCTCCATCGTTTTGGAACTAAGACGACGTGGTCTTGCCTTACAGATTCCTACAAGACCTCCTCTGCAGTTTCCTTGTATTCAGCAGAACGGCCCTTGCGAATGGAGGTGGGTGCTTGGGATGAAGTCTGTAGTATGCCACTAGGCCAACTATATGGAGGATGGGATCACATTCTAAAAGCCATAAAGAAAAAAAGAAGATTCGTAACTCCAGAACGAGCCAAGAACCACTGGCACCAAGAACCATGGGTCGCTTCCAACCACAGACCTTTTGAGTCTCGGTTCCTTGTAGTCGACAACAGCAAGACCGGCAGACAGTGACATACAGCGATAGCCATATTCCTTTAGAAGCCCTTTGAATCACTGACTCCACTGTTTGTAAACAAGAGACTGAGAAAGGCAGGGAGGATGGTGGCTTCTTCCACACACTGAGGGCTACGTTTTATTTCATGCTATGGTGGCAACTGTACAACAAATCCTGATTCCCCAACCCCCCCCCACCCGCCCCCAATTTCTCTTCCTCCCTTTGGACTTAAATGTTCCAAGATCATGATTCTGCATTATTCACGGAGAAACATTGAAATTGTTACTCTGAACTGGTACTCCAAGAAAAGAAATATAAACATTGCTACTATTTAAAATAAAAATAAAAGATACCGCCATTTGCCCCGAGGCACCATCTTACTCTGAATGCTTTGAAAGTACAGAAGAACAGAAGTGAATAATCTTCTGATCGGCAAGGGAGGGAAGGAAGGAAGGAAGTCCCCAGGTGCTTTTGCATAAAAGGACACCCCTTCCTTCCAATGGCACAAGAAAACCCAGGTTCCGTTCTCTGGGAGCCCGTCTGCCTCTGAACGCAGCCAGAGTTTCTGTATTCCTCTTGCCTTCGAGAGCAGGCATACCGTTCCTTCACTGCATGGCTGCGCAGGTTTTAACACCACTGAACTCTCCGTTCACCGTCATTATTTGAGTGGATTTATTTTATCATCTGAGCCAAGCGTGATGTTTTTCTTTGGCTGTCTTGTTCTTGCTTCTTACATAGTAAAACCAGTGGACTAGCCCTCACAAAAATGTGCTAAGTAGCCCAGAACACGAGTTGCTTGTTTCACATTCTGGAAAACCTACCTAAGCCTAACGTCAAAGTGGAGTCCTGGAATCATACAAGTCGAGTCTTCCAGCTTGATCTGTCTGACATCAAACAAGGACCTCTTTGCTCAATGGGCTTGTGTGGAACTAACTAAAAGTTTGTGCCAGTTTACAATTCTTTTCCTAAGGTCCACTTTATCAAGCCAAATATTCGCTTCACCAATCAAGGTTTTCTTCATAAACTTTCCTCCATTGGAAACAAGAAGAATCTAGGGGGGGAAAAGCAGAAAGTGATCTATTTCATATGAAATTAGAAAGATACAAGCACTTAGAGTGCACTTAAAAAAAAAAGTTCCTGTCACGTTAACTGCAGAAAACAGGTTGTTGCCCCACCATTTCACAAGGGCTCATATCCAACTTGGTAGCTCAATATTACCATGGAATATATTCATCATATATGTCACTTATTTGAGCAATGGCCCATTCCCCCCCCACCCCCAGAGGCATTATAAAGGAAATTTCCTTCATCCAATGAAAGTTATTATATTACAAGAAAGACATTGGAGCTCAGGACTATAATACACACACACACACACACAAAACCTCCTCCCTCCGTAGGGCTTTCAAGCTCCAGTCTGCAACCTGGTGACTCTTTGCCAACTGTTTAAAACTGGCAATTTTCAGGAAAAGTTAGAAAAAACTCATAATAATAAAACAATTGAGAATTATGAATAAGAAATGTAATCTGTAGTTACCCACTTGGATTATGTATCAAATAATTAATTTCTATTACCAAAAACAAAACAAAGAACAAGCCAAATTCCAAGAAATAACATTTAATTGATATAAATCAATGTATCAGATAAATTAAATAATCCATAATGTCTATTCTCGAACAATATTATTTCTTATTTAATGTGTATAGATCATGAATTCTACGTGAAAGGGAAACATTGTGTGACAAAGGAGTGTCATGAAGAAATCAATCCTGATTGAATGAAGTTTTAGGTATACTTATCACTTTGATAAGGATTATGGAGATTTGCACCACATGCTGGGTAACCTCTGGAGCGTGTCTGGCTCAGACTCAGACTTCTGAAACCAAGCAGCTCTAGTGGCATAAACGAGGCTACCATGATAGACCAGGCTATGGTCTGGCTATAGAATGCCAGCCTGTTAGTTTCAGGCATGATATTCCCCTCTGGAAAAAAAATCTGAAAAGTAGCCAGGGATGCAGGGGTTGCCTAAGCACCCGCTAAGCATCCAATCAGCTCCCCGCCCTGACCTCAACTAACACCCCCCCTTTCTCTCTTTCCTCCCCTCCAGGTCTTCCCCAGTGACCCCTCCCTGCACGGAAGCCTCAGCTGGTGCTTTCGGGCTCTTCCTCGCCCCCCTCCATTAGATCCTCCGAGCTGCGGGCTAAAGGCGGCAGGGCTCCTCCGGGCTGATCGCGCAGGCACCTGACAGCTGGGGGGGGGGAGGGGATGGAGAAGAGACCCGGGGCGTGACGTGGGTCCTCTTTCCTCCCCACGGAGAACTTTTTTGCGTCCGGCGCAGGTAGTTTGGCGAGAGGCGGCGGCTCTATAACCCCAAAGGCAGCTCTCGCCCGGCATCAGCGCGCGCGCGCGCCCACACACAGAACACCCACTCAAACACCCACTCACTATCCCCACAGCACGAGAATAATAGGAATAATAGTCTTCTTCCCCCCACCACCACCACCACTCCGCCCGCCACTAGCCTTGCGGTTGCGACTTGTGTCCCCGCTCCTTGGCTCGTTTTTTCCTGCAACTGACTCCCGCCTCACACTTTTGAAAGAGCGAGACCGGCCTGAGGAGTCGTTGAAGCGCGCCCCGTTGGGGGGGTGGGGGGGAGAGAGAAAGGCGTATTATTACACGAGCCTTTTAAACTCGTGAGAATGGGCTTCCCAGGCGAAAACCGTTTATTTACATCTGGGCGGCCAGGAATCATTTGCAAAACCGCTTCGCCTTCGCCAGTCCTATTTGCAAAGCGCTGCCGCGGCTCTTCCTTTTTGCCTTTCCCTTCCCGAGGCAACGCGGGACTGGAGCCGCGTGGAGCCGCACCGGGCAGTAGCAACTCCTGACTCAGGGGGCCTCCGAGGGGAGGGGAAGGAGGAGAAGAAAGGGGGGGGAAAGGGGGGCGGGGCTGATTCCCCCCAAAAATCGGA